CTGTTGGGTTTGATTTCGGTTTTGGTTGAGTGGCCATAATTGGGGTTATCTTTTTTACCGAGAGCAGTGTTGAGTCGAGGAAAAATCAGACCCACATCCAATTTTCGAGTTTTCTAGTAGTGACTTGAAAGATCAATGGGGTCGCATAGCGAGCCCTGCATTCTTAAGGGAACGTAGGGCAAGAAATGTAGATTAGTAGCTTTGTTCTTGTCACAGAAAGCCATTTCTATCCGCTTCGTCGTTGATCTCATGCCACACCATGCAAGAAACGGTGAATCATCGCAACCAAGTTGATCGAGGTCTTCCACTTCGTTTCAGTCAACTTCAAGGTTTTTATTGGTTCACCACTTCGCTCATTTAAACAATGCAATCAAATAGGCCCGAGGCAAATTATGCATCGTGAACTTCTGCAGCACTATTATGAGCAGGAGGACCAACGGAATTAAGCTGGCCGGTACTTTTGTGATGACAAAAATCCTAAGGGATCTCAACGGTTCAAGTAACCTTCGATTTCAAATGCACATTGGCGCTAAGAAAAGGAGTAATCTACTCCATCGGCCTTTAGCTGTCCGAATTTCAGCCCGGAATTGCACCTCGCCCTGCGCTTGATTTAACCGTGTTGGTAATTGTGAGATCTACATGAAATGCGCGCCCTTCACTGGCGAATGAGTCACCATCAAATTTGACCGAGAACACGCCCATAGAGTTGCTTGCATTCTCTGCTGTGTTACTCGCCAGAGTAGATGGTAGCGCTGCCAGAGAACATGTAGACATTCGCCTTCTTGTCTCGGAAGTATTGTTCAAGTTACCGGCGACAGCAGAAATTGACCGTAAAATGACAAACCGGTATGCACTGGGAATTGTACAAATGGCCACACTCGAGTCAATGACCAGGACGCTATATGTAGATACGATACCACTGGTATCGCTACTGGGCCACATCCTAGCTGCTGTGTTTGTCATGGCACTTAGCCTTGTAAATGAGCTTGGTGAGCGGTGGGCTTTTGCCGCGATGCAGTAAACAGATTATAGCGGGTCAATTGTTCAAAATTAAATCAAGGAAATAGACTGCACATCAAATCTGATTCTAGTGAACGAAGCATGGCAGCGATTAGGAATAGAAATTAAATATCTGATAAGGAATAGAAAACAAAAACAACAATTATTGAGTGGGAATCCGTGAAACACTTCCAAAAGCCAGTATGCCGGAACAGGCCATCTCCTGCTATACCGTGTGCTACCTTTTTCTTTAGTATCTTTCATCAACCAGCCAGCAGGAAACACAGAATTACGACCTTTTCTCGACATGTCATGCCTCCACGCAAAGAGCCAGCCCCGATTCAGTGCGTTGTAGCTCAACAACGAGCATAGTAGGTTTTGATACCGTGATATGCAGTCTTGTTCGCTATGCTGACCAACAACTTCAACTCCCCTTCGCTGGACGTTTGGGTGAATATCTCATCCTGTCACATTAGCTGAGGGCATGATGTGCATCGGGATAAACCTACCTGCAATAGTTCCTCGATAGAGACACTTTCCAGCTGCCGAGGTAAATTTTGGATCTCCTGTTCCCACTCGTAGGTCCGATTCTTTAACATCAACTTGGTGACGATATCGGCTAGAGCGCATAATTTCATCGTGGCGGAATTCATTTCCGATTGACTGATTTGACAGCTACTCTCAGCGCCCCCTAGTGAGCGTCAGTCTCTTATCGAACGATATTCACTAGGCCAGGGGGTATCCCACTAATCTTGACATCACCAGACTGTGTAAGCAGGATCGTATCCGGGCCCAGGGTAGCAAGTGCTCTTCCGAGCTCGTGTAGATATTGGATGCCTTCTAGTACCTTTTCTAGGTTAGTGTGGAATGATCCCAAAGCATTGTTTGACGTACCGGTCTGACAATGCTAACAATCTCATCTGCGGTGATTGAGCAGCTGGAGGCTAGAATGTGATCGACTGACAGTTCAGTTGGCTCCCATACCAACATAGATAATGTGTCATGGTGGTAATATTGAAGCAGTTTTGGAAAGCTGGGATGGCAAATATGTCCCATCAGTTCTAGTAAGGCTGCAGCGGGAGCCATCTGTTGTTCCAGTTGCTGAATATGAACCAACGTTCCTCTATTTACCCTATGTCGGGCAAATACTAGAGACCGATCTTGCAATGCAGCAACGGGTTCGAAAGTATCCCATGGGTTCTGGTTTAGGTGTGGAATCCTTGCATCCCGGCGATTCGGTCGCGGCTTTTTTGATCCGAGGGCGATTGCTGTTGCGTTCCTCATCTGACTCGGCGATTCATTCATATCCGCCGTGGCAGTTGATTTTGAATCTAGTTGGGTTTGGTGGAAAGTCGATTCATCAATCCAAACGGTGGGAGGTCGGCTGTGTTTGTCCCGATTGCGTTTCATCATTGTGTGTGGTTTTTACGAATTATGAAAAGTACAGTGGGAGACCTAGGGGGAAGATGGATTTTATAGCTCTAAAGCTTGGTTTCTACATACCTTTTTAGCCCTTGTCACGAAGGTCTGTTGGTCGCGACATCATATTGTCACGTCAGTGCGACTGAAAACTGATATCTCTCAAATTAGTAGCCTATGGTTGTTGGACTATATCTGTCAAAGTCAGTTGACAAATTAACAATTTTGCTGGGTTGCTTGCTTTGCATCAAAAAATACCTCTTGAATAGTAGTTGCCCCCAACGAATCAACCATTCGTCTTTTATGACGCTCAAACCTTGGCCTTCTTTGCTTTCAGATGAAA